ACAGGAATGCTAGTGGTACGCCAGCAGTGTTGCCAATGTAAATAAATAAGTTGCAACGACCAAAGCTCAACATAAATCAGATTTTAGCTGAATATTAAAAAATATCTAATAGGAATTAGAGTATTTCGTAAAAAAATATCATTGTATTAAAAATATTTTCACACTAAAGTAGTGTTTTTTTTTAAATGGAAGCCTGTAAATATTAAACTGAACTGAAACTGAAACGTTAGGTGTAGAGGGAGTTTTATGCATGTCTATGGTTGAATATTTCTCATTTCTCATACTAATTTTTTAACTTAATATTGATTCAGTATTTATCATCTGTTAAATACTTGAATCAACACAGACAAATTTAAATTTGTCATATCTAGTTAGTTCCTCTAGCTATGCACGCTCCAGAATATAAATATAAATTACTGTTAACATGTATGTTTATTTATGAAACTATATAATACATCAAATCTATAATATGCATCACGTTTCAGTATATAAATCTAAATATTGACTTTTGAATTAATATTCGTTTTAACTGTGCAGTATTTAATTAATTTAATATTTTTGAAATGGGTAAACGGAAATAGGATAAATTTTAATTGAAATATCGTTTTTTGACATAATAGCAAATGTTATAATAATTACTAACATTCGTATTTATACAGGGGTAAGTTTCCAATTACTTCGTGGAGACTGTGGAGAACTATTTTGGAAAAAGAACACTTCGACAAATATTTTTTCTGTTTTTCAAAAAATAGTGGAGGATAGATAGATTGACTACTTATGTTTAAAATCTTCAATGCTCAATTTTTAAAAAACAAAACTAATACATAATTTTTCAATTATTTTTCAAAGCGGTATAATAACTGTATCTTTTGATGCACGTCCAAAGTGAATCACTAATAGTGAAGTCATCCAGTGTAATCATCCTTTTTTACATTTTTTTATCCAATATTATTAATTTATTTTATCACAAACGACTCTGCATCTCCACTCTGGATCGACCCGTGATGACAGGATGTCTTGTTCAAGAAGAAATATAAAGATGGACGAATATGATGAATAATGCTTATAGTAAGTTTAAAACAAAGTAAGTTTTAAAACTACCTGTATAGTAAACACAAAAAAACTATGAAATGAACTAAAAAATACTGGGAAACTAAAAAATAAGACGAAACTGTTTACATTTTTCAATGAGCCTCCACTCTGGATGAATCATCAGATCGGGAAACGATTCTTTCATCAAAAGTTTTTCCCGGGATCAAATAGTTTCATCCTTCATCTTTGGTGTACACTTTGGAGGAAACAAAATTAGAGACAATCTACACTTATAACTTTGGATGATTCCTCCAAGATGATTAGAAGTGGCAAATGTGGCAAATATAAATGAGCCTTAACTCAAAAAGTTACCCTCTAAAAGTCTAATTCTGTTCTTCAAAAGTATCTAGTTAAAAGCAGTATAATATTATTCAAAGAAATCATCTTCACATAATAATTGTTGAGAAAAAATCCCACGGTATTATACTAAACTTGTTCACCTTGATCTTCCAATTATATACCATTATTTGTTTATAAATAATTTGCAGTAAACAGTCTTCTTTTATTTTATATTCATCTCTGGCGTTTGCATGTATTTTACTTATATTCACCGATTTCATTACAAAATATTTTGAATATTGAATTAAACATTTAAAAACTATAAAACTTTAAAAAAACTATAAAATTTCGTTTTATATTTTACATATCAATTGGGCATCAACAAATATTTGGCCCTTTATCATTTTCTAATTTAAATTGCACATAACTATTGCCATTTTTATATATTTTATTTTCAAATAACCAGTACCTTTTTTTATAATATTGGAAGTTCATCCAGGATCCAGGTTGATCATCAATATGTTTCTTTATTATGCAGGGAGATTCAGACTTATTACTTTATTTTTATCTTGAAAAAAAATATCATATTAAGTCTGTGGTCAAAGTAAACTGTAAATGAACAACAGTTTGTTTATATTTTACTTAAATATGAAGGGTTGATAAGTGCAGTTTCTTAATTTTAGGATTTTACAATATTATAGCAGGTCTAACTGATCCCTACAAAATTTATAAATTATGCACTGTAATAATTTGTTAAACCATATGATATATGCCTAGTAAAAATATAAAATAAACGGAAAGAACCTGATAACCACCAGCCGTCCAGTGCTTTCCTGTAAAATTAGTGATATGGGGCTTATCATGTTTTTCCCGTCGACCCTTCATATGTTTCGTCAAGAACCTGGAAGACTACAAACGTCACCTGGAATGGGAATCCTCCATCGGTCTAAGACACACACATAAAATATTTTCCTTGATTTAAATAAGAACAATTTTGATTGTTCCCCCATACGGGGTTTGGTTTGGAACACTGTCCAAACAATTGAACAGAACATTGTCTTCTCAATGAACACCTCAATAGATGGAAGCTGAGAAACAATGGCGAATGCAGATTCTGTGGGAAAAATGGGGAAACACCAGAACACCTAATCACTGAGCGAGCCACAACCTTTCGTGCCATAAACTTTGGTACGACTCATATCGTAAGTGAAGAATTAACCTCTGTAAAACAGTTTCAGATACATAATACTTCAGATACTTAAATCTCATCTCTCTGAAAATATGTTAAATCACAGATTTTTTGTATTATTATATTATTTTTGAAACTAATTTATAATAATGCCTTGTTCAAAATTAATTGTTTGTACATTTTAGATAATATTCGAAAATGTTAATCATGTATTAATACATTCAAATGTTTTAATAAAAATACCGGAAAATTTTAGCATTGTTTGCTTTTATTTTAGTTGCCTAAAAGCTAGGAAAATCTAATTGAGTTTTTGCTTGTATAGATTTTCTTGTTAGTGTCAGTGTTTGTTTGAATATGTTAATGTGGAAGGCGAGGTTTTAACTATAATCCCCATCCGTGGGAAGATTTCTATTTGCCTCTAACCGTTCGTAGCTTCAAAACAGATATCGACTAACCTATATTTCCCTTTATATTTCCAAAACAAACAAAAAATTAAATGAAAGTCTTTAGAATGAATAAAAATAAAAAGAAAGTTCTTTTTCCATCTGGCAATATTTCTGATAAAATATTTCGTAATATAGTAATTTGTATTGAATCGCTCGATTGCGATAGTTCACCGAAGTTAAGCGACGTTAGACGATGTGAGTGTATGAACGGGTGAACGTCTAGAAACTCGTGCTGTTTTTTCACAGCAAGAGTGTCTTTTAACTCGATCCGCCATTATCGGAAATATTTGGATTGCTACCACTACCAAAAGTATATATTATTTTGCATTATTGTGACATTTCTAAAAAGAGAACATTAAAATCCGGACGCTTATAAAAAATCCGCCCGGTCCCAACCGGACGTAGTGAAAATTCGGACATGTCCGGATTAATCCGGACGTCTGGTAACCCTACCTGTAACGTAGTTGCAGCTTCGCTCCTATTGGTCCAAAAGTTAAGAGGCAACCTGTTTAATATAGTAACCTTGAGGCCTCACAACTTTTTGTAGTGGAAAAATTGTGTTGCGAGACTTGAGATATTTTACATTTTATATTTTTAATGGGATATGTAATAGTTATCCCTTCTAGATATTTATTTTATTAATTATGATTTTTTATGCTTATTTTTACTAATTATCTATTGGATTATGATCATATTTATGATGTATTAATAATAATATATTTATATATTTATATTATTATTATTATTATTATCTTGATAATATGGAAGTAGACAAACCTTCTTCGTAAATAGCGCATCACGATATATTTCCGGAAGTGTCTTCCAAATGGGCGAGATATAATTCAGAGGAAATGACATCGCCCAGATACGCTAAATACCTTATTTCCGATAGATATTTCCAGAATGGCTCGAGCCAAAATTATCCATCCATCATCCTCAGTCTTTCTGTCTCGCTCTCTTCTGAACTGAATTCCGAACATATGTCTGGGTGGATATTTAAGTGAGCGGAAAGAGGATTGTATCGTCGCAACTTTCGAAGCGGAAATACGGAAATAACAACGCTCAAGTATTTTTTCTACTATTAATAGGTCATATATATGGCATAAAATTTAAATAAACACGACGGACGGCTCATATAAGATTGCACAGTATAGGGACCTCGTAAACTAGAACAAAAAAGATGATTATTAAAAGTTAGACTACGCCTTCCTGAACCCTAGGTAACGTCATCTTTCGACAGCTAAAAAAATCCGAATCATTTCTGAAGATGGTTAGAAAAAAGAATTTTCCCGATCTCGATTTTATGGTTTTCTGGCTCTATTTGAGAAGATTTGGCAATACATATAAATTTCACTTCTTCTTTGCTATTTTTCCTGATCTACAATTTAATGTTAGTAGATTTTCGATCTCATGTTTCTGAAATACCATTGTGAGCTTTATTTTTTTTAAATACGGACCTGAATTTTTTAATTCACTTTTTGGAATCATATTTCAAATTCAATGATTTATTATTAACCAAACATTTATTTTTCTTTTATACCTCAGTGCAATACATTGCTTCTAATGGGAATATTTTTTATTGTACGTTTTTTGGGCAAATACATCATTATATTTAGGAAGTAATAAGCTTTTAAAGTGAAATAATGATCCAGATCCATAATTAAAAAAAAATATAAAGTTGATGAAATACAAAGTTATGGCTCTATTGCCAATATATGGCAATCATTTTGTTACCATACCCAAACCAAACCAAACATAACTGGCTCTAAACTATGACCCCCCTAATCACAAAAATATGTTGCTTTATCCACAACGATCCAAGTGTCGTACGAGACAGAGGGGTCAAGTGTCGTGGGTCGCTTCGAGAAAAAAATGGTATTCATTTTTACTATTTTTTCTCGAAAATATTTTAATGTCGAAACCAAATATATTATTGCTCTCTCATATTCCTGGTCAAAACCAAACCAAAACCCACATCAACAAAACCATTCCTTCTTATTTCCAGCACTCCGAAGTTGGCCATAGATGGACGACCCCGAGATCCAAGAAACGGTGGAAGCCATCTTGGGCAAGGGGGTGAAAGTAGTCGATTGCGAGAAGAAATCTTCGATTAAAGAAGAGGAAGTGCTCTACATTAACGGCATACCGGTGACGTTGGAAGGCAGGGATGGGGTGGCTATAAAACAGGCCCTGATCACGGGCCAAGTACCGCCGTGTGATTTGTTGAATAAGCTGCTGATTAATAGGTAATTGGATTGTGGTTTTTATGGTTAAATATTGTGAAGGGTTTGATATTAAAAGTACGAATGATTTTTTGATTTTATCTGAGCTCACAGAAATACCATTACTAGAAAACAACTGACCAATTAAGATAAAGTTCCGCGTATCCAGTAGTATCCAAATCCACTTTTTCGTGTTAGTTATTGGTACGGAAAAGTCAACATGTCAGTACTGGCATATCAGAGGTACTGGCGCCAGATACTGGATACGTGTAAATTAGCCTTTATATAAAGTGACAGGAACATAAAACGGGAACCTTAAAATTGTCATGTCTTTTAGATTTTGATATATTTGGTGTGACGGTTTTAATGACTTATTGTCAATTCGTAGCTACATTATTTGGTTTTTAATATTTTTTTTAAATTTGAAATAAAAATCTAAAGTTGTCTATTCATGATATTTTGATGAAAGTTTGGATCACCCTGTAGAATAGTAAGCATTTTTCATCTAAGTGCATTTTTCGCGACAATGTTTTTTTTTCGGTTCTCAATACTTTTATTTTAAGAAGATAATCGCTTTTGAAGGAGACAGTAATAACTTTGCTTTTGGTCCTAATCAACACACCTCTATAAAGTAGAGTTTACTGTTTGTTTTTAATGTCATTGTCATTGAAAAGCCATATTATTATTTTTTTTGGCAGTTTATGACTTGACGAACATAAAAAAACATACGCAAAGAGATGTAACAATGAAGTCGGGCATTGCAGATCATGTGTGGTCCAAGGAACACGACATAAAATGTTTGGAAATCCGGGTTGTTCACAAGTATGGAAATTTTAACAATATTGCAACCACTCATAAAACGCACCAATGCGGGTATTCCCAGTGGCCAACCTCATGCTTGACTCCACCCATCTTCACGGGTGAATGCTCAGCTCTAGTATATAAGCTCAGCAGTTTTAGGACTTTAGATAACGGTCAGTGAGACTGAACCGTGAACCTGACTGTGAGTGAAACTACAGAGTTTTCAATGACAGTGGCATTACAAAAAGAATAAATACGTACGATCCAAAAAAAAAACGGCGTCAGGGATGAAATGAAGATCGCTGTCATTTTATATGTAAATTTACATAGGAAATGTCATCGATCTTCATTTCTCGTCATTTCATCGGTCATTTCCCAGCCAACGGGACGCCGTTTTTTCGATCATACGGTACTATTTATAAGTGTGTTGATTAGAACCTCTTGGTTTTGGCAAAGGCATGTTTCTAATACTGAAATGTCTGAAAAATAAGTCTGAAATGTCTCAATCACTCTCTTCTCAGTCACTGTCTCAATAACTGTCTCAATCACAAGTCTCAGTCACTGTCTTCTTCAAAAGCGAATATCTCCGAACAAAAAATCTGTTGAGATGAATAAAAAAAACATCGAAATAAGGTACACCATAATGATAAAGTAGTCTTTATATTTCTTACTTATTATACTTTTTCAACTTTTTGTTTTTTCTGGTGTGATAAACAGTAGTGTACTTTATTTTTTAATTTTAAAAGAGGCTAAAAAAGTCAAATAAATTAGCTACATATTGCTAAAAAATCACCAAAATCGAACCAATAGAACAAAACATATTGAACGACAACCTTAAGCTGTCCATTTTTATGGTGCTCCGTGTGTAGTTTCACGGACGTTAGGCTCACTAAAACCAAAAAATCCAGATATTTGTATCAAATTCTTACGGATATTTACCGATTAAAAACTATCGATTCAAACCCAATTTAAGCCTTCTATTGTTATTAGTGGCATATTGAAAGCGCCTGTTAAACTTGATACATCCCTATCTGTCAAAAGTACGACTGTAATCAAGGAAGAAGTGACAGTATCCAGGGATGGCAAAGTTGTGGACGAACGCAGTAGAGAGACAAAGGACCAGTCCTACTACACGAGCGCCATGACAGAAGTTTTCGAACCGATTAAAATTATTCCGACTGCCGAACTGCTAAACGGCCGATACAATGGTTAGTTGGTAGAGCTGGATGGTGGTAGTTTTTTGGAAATAAGTTTTGTATAGTCGAAAAATTAGGAAAGCAGATGTAGACTTAGAATGTACATTTACCTTTAAATTGAAATGCCAAATCTTAAAGGAAAACTACTACAGTTACTATGCAAGATATATTTCTAAAAAAATCACCCAAGACCACCATTTCCTGATATAAACAAACCTTTGTCTCGCTCAGGCAGTTCAAGCGACGCCTTCAACGGAAACTCCAAGTGGTCCAAGTTCGGAAGCAGTTCCAGCGCTTCCAGCTACGAGTCTGAGCAAGAGACTCCGCTCCGCTACGGACCCAAGCAGTGTCTGAGTAAAGACTCAGGCCACATGAGCTCTACGGTGACGGATAAGGTGGATTTCACGCAGAGTAGCATAGATTCGCTTTCTAGCTACGACGACACGGATTACATTTGCGATCAGCTGAGTAAATGCGCTAGCTTTGTAGGAGGAAATGGATATACCAACGGATATTTAGTAAGTAGAAACAGGAATTAGATTAGGTTTTTTGAGGTGAGCTATCGCCCTTTTTCACTGCGACCTTTTCAGATCCATTGTGATCTTCCTCTTGTCTCTAGGTTACCTGTCCGTGTCTCCTTTTCAAAAAGTCTAACAGCTTGGAGATTGTACCCTCCATATAGCGCTTTGTCAATGGTTTATCATTGTCTAATATAATGAACAGCAAATTTACAAGACACTGTCTTTCTTTTTCAGATTGGCCAGCTTTGGATGTCTGTTAAACTAAAGCTGTGACAATCTTTAAGTCTGTGCTTATCAGGTCTGCCCTAAATTTTGGTGAAAGTTCTGCTATTATATACTATTTCGCTTGCCCTTGGTGAATTTCTCCACAATTCTATATATTTGTTGGGCCCCAGTTGTGACCGCTTTTGCAGCTCCACTTCTGGGTATACGAATGACATTGATATAACCATTGTTTGGTCATTTCATCTGCCTTTTTGTTAAGAAGCAAGAATTGGTAGTACTTTGTTATTTTCATAAATTTTATTTAATTAAGAATATCTTAATATCACATCGACATGTTTGTCGTTTTCCTCAATGCTTGATATATTTTTCAATACCTACTGCTTCCATATTTTAATAGTTTACAGTAACAGTCTCTCATGGATTCAATACTAAGTATATAATATTTATCATCATTTTTTTTATTAAGGATTTACTATTTCCAATTAGACTTAGCTTTTACCAATCAAAATTTTCATTTAAAAGTTTATTGTTACCATGAAAAAATATGAACGTTATAGTCTATCAATCTCTTTTTATTGGAAATGTTTGAACGATGGGGATAAATTCTTTGTTTTTTTCCCTATTCAGGAAAGTTTGCGCAACACAATAGAACAAAAGTTTTCCTATTATAATGGATAACTAACAATTGCCCGGTGGTTTTTAATCGATATTATTTATATACCTACGTAACGGTATGTTAAATTAATTTCTTACCAGCAGCAAATAAATTTTCTATATTTATAGAAAATATAACTAATTATTTTGAAATTCATATATTTTTTTTATTTGTAGCCAACAATCTTCGGAACAGTGGCATCTGACCTCACTCCAAAGGATTGTTCTAATAGGCGGGTAAGTTATTGTTCTTATTTCTTAATTTTGTTTCATCTACATTTCTACCAAAGTCTTTTTATACCATTAACCTTAGCCCTAAAGTAGCAAGATTAAATTTTCCAAAATAACAAAAGTTTCAAGTTATTCTTCATTGCATTGACTTACAGCAGATATTTGCTTAAAGTATAGATGTCTTACTGCATTGCTTATAGCAATGCATCTAAGTACACGGTTTACGTCTGCACTTAAACGAAATTCTTAAGTTTTTCTTAAAGAATCTATAGATATCCGACGCACTATTATACTGGGTGAGTCTTAAATAAGTATAACATTCATATATTATCTATCTATCTTAAATACATACATTTTCAGGGTTGGTGGATCTCTATAAAAGAAACATATTTTCTCTTTACCGTTTTTCAAATAAGTCCAAAATAAACGAGTTATTTTACTTTGAAATTTTTAAAAACCACTGGATCTTTTCTGGGTTTTCTTTCTTGTAAATTGAATACACTACCACTACCTGTGTTGCCATATTATCAAGAAATTATGTTTTTTAACTAAAAACAAAAAAAAATCCAAAAATTTTTTTGGTGAAAAAAAACTCATAATCGTGTTTCTGAGGTCGAAATGTAATACCCCTAAAAATATTATTACACTTATTTAAGACTCACCCTGAAGGATCCAGTAGATATTACTTAAAGGTTGATTCCCACTATACCTTCCGTTTCCATTCCATATCTGTTCCGTATTTTTTTTTGTATTGACGCTATACGTAAACTTTCGTTCCTTATCAGTTCCATACTTTTTATTGTTCAATTTATATCATTAGGAAAGTTTTATTTTAAAAATTTGTATCTTTTGAAAAGGGTAATAGATTTAATTAAGAGGTGAAAGAATAAATAAATGTCAGCAAAATGTTAACAGAGCTGGTACAAATGTAAGAACTTGACAACGCTTTCCGATACGTTTCAGTCCGTCCGCCAAAAAAATGTATGGAAGGAAAGGATATGGAACGGAAGGGAAACAGAACGGATAGTGTGCATTGTATAATATTTTACGTAAACGGAAGGGAAACGGAAGGGAGCTGATATGGAAGGTATAGTGAGAATCAACCTTAAAGGAGTCCCTCGTTTTACGCGTTTCGCTTATACGCGTTAGCATTTTTGTCACCAGAGATTTCTCTATTAAATAGTAAAGGTTTATATGTATGTAACTCAATATGAGAACAAATCACCGAGCTGTCCATTTGTAACTTTTGCTAAGAAAGGGCAACATAGATATTGGCCACATATGGCCACACATTGTCGACGCGAGGTATCAGATATCAAATTAAAGATATTGCTGATTTAATAAAATCGTTGCCTAGAGAGGAATTTAATAAAAACTAACTTTACTAGAAAAATGTAAAGTACCTACTTGAATTACATTTTGTTGAATTCTCTAAAGAATCTCAAAGAAATTGGAACATAAAAATGAATATTACAGTTGGGGGTTGGAACCTTTGGTGTTACAACAGCAAAATAAAACACTAAGTAACCACAATATACCAAAACCCTTTACTTTTGCACTGGACGCGCGTTTCGCTAACCATGTTAATAATCTGCTGATGATGATAACATGGCTAGAGAAGTGCGCGTCCAGTGCAAGAGAAAATGTTATGGCGTATTGTGATGAATTAGTGTTTTATCTTGCAATAAAAACGAAACCTAAAGACAAACATTCAAAAAAGTTTTTGAAAAATTCAAATTTTCTTTTTGTCAAAACCTAACCAAACCATGTAGAAGTGTTCCTGGGATCGAATAATCTTAGTCTATAAGTCGAGGAGCTCGTGTATTAGAGAATAGCCCAAGCCCAACATTACTTACTTCCGGTGTGTATTGAAGCAGAAGTTAATAATTAAAATTCGAGAGCAACATTCTACACGATTTAATTAAGCTTTTGAAAAAATCCTCTCAAGAGAAATGTTGCAAAGAGGAGGCAATTAAACCAAAGGCAGAGTTGCAGCTTCTGTTTTATTTATTTTCGCTAGTTTTGCCACGCTCGCGGCATAAAAGATTTTACGTTGCAGCAGATCTAATTTCAAATTAACTGCATCGTTAAACAAATATAAAACGCAGTAGGAAATATGCGTATGTATATATGTATACATATACGTAGTTTAGATTAATCTCGTTGCAATCTTCTTTCTATTGCAGCAGAATTTGCCGGATGTTAAGCAAAAAATTATCTTTCTTTATGAAAGATATTAAATATACATATTCTGTTGATATTATATACATGGGTGATTCTGTTCTAGATATTACTTTTTTGATAAAAAAAAATTCGGAATTGTAAACTTTCCTATTTTGCGTGTATATTATACTATTTTATTCTAAAAATTAAATTGCAAGAGGATTTTATTACGACCGTAAAACATGCTAAAAGAGAATAAAGTTTCATATTTGTGTCATTTTTACAAAAAAAAAACATTCTAGTTTATGCATACAGGGTGTTTTAAAAAGCATGTGCCATCTCTAGTGGGGAGATTTCTCACGTAAAAATAAGATTTATATTTCATACCAAAATGGGTCCGATTCTGCTTTTGTAGCTACAGAAGGTTAGTCTTCATTTTTTTCGCTTTATTATAATTTTCTTCCACGGTCTTTTAGCGATTCGAATGAGATTTGGAGGGTAGAAGTTACATATTGCTACATATACATATAATGCTAAAAAAGTGTCGACAGAAAAAAACAAATGCGCCACTCATTTTTTTTTTTCATCTTATTAGCAAAAGCGTGCAAGCCATTTTTTAATGCCGATTAAAAATTGTATCTTGATATTTTGTCTATTTCGATCTCCTTGATGAGATAAACGCAATTTTATTAATCACAATCAATAAAATTAAAATAAAAATATAAAATTAATAAATTATTTATTTAATGTGTCATTCCAGTGATAACCCAAATTTCATTCAAATCGCTTTAAGCACTTAGTATATGCAAAGCTTTAGTGTATGTAGTGTATGCAGAGTAATATAGCACTAAGAAAAATATAATAAATCGAAAGAAGATGAAGACTTTCGCCCCCTGTAGCTACGAAACAAAGCACAATCGGACCTATGTTAATATAAAAAATAAATCTTATTTTTACGAGAGGAATCTCCCCAGGAGAGATGGCACATGATTTTGGAAACACCCCGTATAGATACAACAATATTTTTTTATAATACGGGGCCGGCCTATGACTGAAATACTGCGACCTGTAAGACCTATTTTGTTTGTCCCCTCTGTATGTCTACACCCACTCTCCTATCCCTGTACTCTGCACTAACTTGTGCAGGTTAGTTTGGTTTGGTTAGGTTGAGTAAAAATCCTCGAATAAAGAACTTGTGCAGGTCCTTGATAGGATAGAAATATAGTTTCTCCGGTTCTAGCCTTGCTTTCCCAAATAGAAACTGCCGATTGCGATCCAGAGCTTCGCAGTGATATTATGTTTGCTCTGCTGTTTCAGGATCTTCATCGCAAGGTCGGCAGCGAAGACTACCTTGGCACAGCTTGATTTTGTTCCGGTAGCATTTGACATGCATATATCCTGTCAAGAGATTTGTTTTAAACCACACTTTATTCCTGCTAAGCACTAGCAGTTCCTTTGTGGTTTTAGAATTAGGTCCTTGGATGAAGGCTGGTATGCCTGTTCCTCTATTTCTCCAATGTATGATTTACCCTGATCCAGAGTTTTACGGCACTAAGGTAGGATTTCGATGATCTTTGCCTTGCTTATCGGCTTTAGTTGCTATGGCCTGCAGACAACAATATTACAAAATACACTAATTTGTTCATCATTGTTGTGCAATGAACAAGACGAACAATGCAACAATGGACAAGAGCTAGAAATGAAAAACGGAAACAAAATTAAATCATATACTGAATTCACATACCTAGGTACTAACATACATAATAATGGAAAAAGTGACAATAACATCGACAACAGTATCAACAAAGCCAGAAGCATTACAGAGGCACTATTATATATTATATATTCTTTGGCAAAAAAATGTAAACATCGCAACAAAAACTCGCATATATATGACACGATAGTTAAGAGCACGGCAGATAAGCAAGTCCATGGAGGGAAAGCTTTTAGCAACTGAAAAGGACTCTCAGAAGATCGGCAAGAAAATAAAAATTGGAAAAAGTGCGAAATGAAGAAATAAAAAAAAATAACGATATAATCATCTAATAACGAGATAATCATCTTAGAAGAAATCCAAGAAAAAGCAATTAATCTGGTATGGGCATGTAAACAGAATGGGAGAAGCAAGGCTACCAAAGAATATCATGAAATGGACTCCAACTGGAAAACGGAAACGAGAAAGACCCCGAGAGACATGGTTAAAGAGGGTAGCAAAGGCAATGTTATTACGCAATTTACAACCCGATGACCGGATGGACAGAAGGCAATGGCGGCAAGGAACGGGAAGCCGGATCACGCATTTAACCGACCTTGTATCTTTTCTAGTTTTAGAGATTCCAATGATGAGGCTCGAATTTGGGTCTTTATAATTAATCTCTATATTTTTTCTTCTAATAAAACTTTATTAGATTCGTACTACTATAATATAAGGCAACTTCTAAACATTATTCTAGATTTTATCTCCGCCATGAATTACTCGCACCATATGCTCTGACCCAAACAATTATTAAACGCTATTTATTGTTCATTAAAAACTACTGCACTGACCCAAATAGTACCGTAAAGGTTCAATGACGATCAATTATGTTTTTTCTCTCCGTCCACGAAGATATCGATTAAATTTTCCTTTCAATTGATCTCCTACGGTCCACTTACTGGCAGTGTTTCATAATAACTATTATTGTTTTGTAAAATTGACGAAGATAAACTGGATATTTCTTGCATCAATTCCAGTTATATAATGGGTGAAATATGTATACCGGGTAACCCTTGGATATGTATAAAAAGTAGATAAACCATATACATTGATTTGTATTTACCCAACATATACATGCACGGAAAAT